ACTTATGTGTATGTGATGGATGTTCACGTTAAGAGAGCTAGAGCCGTAGAGCTAACAACCGATCACCACATTCTGTTGACACGGTACGTTGTAAGAATTAGAGTACCAGGCGAAGATCTGGTGGCAGAAGCAACCAGAGAATTAAATGGAATGCACCATCATCTATGAAGATCAGGGCAAAACTTGCAAAAAGCTTCGCCAGAAGGTTCGAACAGTTTCTGATGGTAACCGCTGAAAATCTGGGTGGAGGAGCGAATTACTTGCGGCTGCCGTCGAATGATCAGAAAAGAACTTCCTGATGAACACTAGAGGTTAAATTGTTGCCATGTGAAAATAATGCTTCATTTAAAAGGTAACTTAGAGGCATAGAACTCTCAAATCGACTGCGTAAGAAGTGCGCAATGTATTTGCGAAAGCAGTATCCAATGTGGAAACTCATTAATGGGATAAGTTCGTTGATCAGCTGGAGTCGAACAAGGTATTCTAACAGTCCATCATTGACCTTCGAAATGGAAAGGAGGGCAGTCTAGGTTTTGATGGAAAAGTTTTGAGCGCTCTCTTGTCAAGAATGAGGAGATACTTCAGCAATGGAGTTAGCAGTTCGAGCAGCAGAAGAAAGACTCGTCTGAAGAGCAGCAGAAAACAGATATTAGACTTTCAGTAAACGAAGTCGGAAAAGCTGTAAAAAGCTTCCGAAGTGCAAGGCTACTGGAATCAATAAAGTCCTCTTGCAATGCTTAAAATCTTACCAGATTTAAGATGGCTGCGGCGAAGACGCCAGTGAACTAAGGATTCGGAGTGGTAGTAACCCTGTTCAAGAAAGGAGACCATAGGGAGTGCTCAGTTTATCGAAGCTTTACCACAGATAGCGTCCTGGGAAAAGTCTATGCAAATATGTTAGAAAGTAGGTGCCACGAAATGACTGACTCTAGACAGACGAAGTGCAGTGGGGTTTCGTGTCAGGTCGAAGTAAATTTGACATCTTCTGCTTACGCAAGATTGTTGGAAAATTGTGAGAGTTCGCTCATCCGTCTTGCATACGCTTTTAACCTAAAGAAAGCCTATGACCGGATCCCACGCAACAGTCTGTGGACATGCCTTCGTGCATACGGGATTGATGGCAAGTTGCT